GAGGAATAAAGTTTTTCTTTTGATAGCAACCTACGGGAGGGGATTCAAGCCTTTATTAGTTGGGAGACTTGTACTAGATGGGATGTTCTTTTTCTTCCTGTCCCTAGACCCCCCCCATCTCAGAATGTGCTAGACATTAGTTGCCTTAAGGGCAGTGTTGTGAAGATTAATGTATGTGGAAGTGCTTTGTAAGATGCATAGTAAAAGGTATTTTGTAATTTAATCTCTTCAGACAAGATATATCACAAAGCATCATTACATTTTAAAGAGTTGAAAATTACAAACAACTTTCTTTGGCCATAGGGCAGTAAAACTAGAAATTCATAACAAAATTGGAAAAAAAGACCTTTCTATCTGGAAACACTAAAAAGTATGAGGGAGCATAGTCCTATGAGTTTTTGTTAAATATTTTCTAATAACTCCATAATTAACACTGTACGTTGTACAGGTACATGAATAGATAGACCAAGGGACTAGAATAGAAAGTGCAGAAATATCTATTCCTATGGAAATTTAGTGTATAATAAACATGACATTTCAAAAATCAATAGGGCAAAAAATGACTTTTTAAAAAATAGACTGTTTTTTAGAGCCTTTTTAGGTTCACAGCACAATAGACCACAGGTACAGAGATTTCTCATATCCTTCCTGCGCTGACACATGGATAGCCTCCTCCATGATACATCCCCTCATTAGAGTGGTGTATTTGTTGCAATTGATAAACGTACATTGGCACATCATTTTCTTTTTCTTTCTTCTTTTCTTTTTTTGAAATGGAGTTTTGCTCTTATCGCCCAGACTGGAGTACAGTGGCACAATCTCAGCTCACTGTAACCTCCGCCTTCAGGGTTCAAGCGATTCTCCTGCCTCAGCCTCCTGAGTAGCCAGGACTACAGGCACCCGCCACCACGGCCGGCTAATTTTTGTATTATTTAGTAGAGACGGGGTTTTGCCATGTTGGCCAGGCTGGTCTCAAACTCCTGACCTCGGGTGATCCGCCCATCTCAGCCTCCCAAAGTGCTGGGATTACAGGCGAGAGCCACCGCACCTGGCCTGGCACATCATTTTCACCCAAAATTCATAGTTTATATTAAGGCATACTATTGATATTGTACATTTTATGGGTTTGGGCAAATTTATAATGAAATGAATCCACCGTTATGGTGTTATACAGAGGAGTTTCACTTAGAAAATGATAAAATTCAGTTTATATCTCACACTGTACACAAGAATAAACTCCAAGTGGATCAGAAAAATGTAAAGAAATGAAACTACACAAGTTGTGAGTATACTTGGCAATACAAAAAAAATGAAGCTACACAAGTGCTAGAAGAAAATAAGGGTAAATTCCTCTATAATCTAGGTGTATGGAAGGCATTTCTAGCTATGACTCAAAATTCAGGTATAATATTAGATTAAAATTTGACTACATGAAACATTTGTTTGCCAGAAACACTATAAGCAAATTTGAAAGACAAATACAAAGTGGGAGAAAATATTTGCAACATTTATCTCATATAAAGGACAGTAAAAGCCCTTGTATGGAAAGAACTTTTAAAAGGGGGTAAAAGGCTGAAAATCTGGTAGAAAAATGAGCAAATGATAGAGGGGGAAAAAACAACATTAAAATGGCCTTTAAACTAGGATGTTTAAGTTTACTCTTAAGAGAAATAAAGCTACACTGAGATACAACTTCTCTCGTATCATATTGGCAAAAATTTGAAAAGCTCTGGTAATACTCTCGGTGAGGCCGTGAAGAAACTGGCACACTCAAATTTTATATCAAATGGTACAACTCTTTTGGCATGTCTAACTATGTTTACTTTATGACCCAGTAATTCCTCATTTAGGAATTTATTCTGGAGATATAGCTCCAAAAATGTGTAAATATTTACATAGTGTTACTGCACTTGCAAATTATTGGAAATAACCTAAATGCCTATGCAGGCGAGAATAATTGAATAAATTGTGGCCCATTTACACTGAGGTATACTAAGATGTAAAAAAGAATAAAGGCGATATCTGAACTGATAGTGGTGATTTCTAGGATATACTTATGAAGTTTTTAAAAAGCACATAACGAAAGAAAATATATAGTAAGCTACTATCTATGTAAAAAAGGGAAGAGATAATGAAATACATGTTTTTAATCACTTTGCAAAAAAGAAATAAAGGAATGATAAGCCAAAAATTAATGAGATGGTTATGCATAGGGGATGTGTGAGTATGAGATGGAAGAATGTGGATGGGGTGACTTTTGTATAGTTTTGATTTGGGTAATCACGTTAATGTTTTACATTCTAAAGTCATAATAATAAAATCAACAAGGATGGAAAAGTTATTTTTTAAAACACTCTAATATAGAATATAAAAAGTAACACATGAACCTATTTAAGTGGGAGAGGGAGAAGTTACCCAAGTCACTTTTTTTAAACACAATACTTTAATTATATGTCCTCAATCTAAGACAGAAAGAACTGAAAACAAACTGAATTCTAGTTAGTACAGTAAGTCCTCATTTAACGTTCTCAGTAGGTTCTTGGAAGCTGCAGCTTTAAGGGAAATGACCTATAATGAAACCAGTTTTACCACAGGCTAATTGATAGAAACAAGATATAAGTTCTAGTGGCATATTTCTGGTCACAAAAACATCACCAAACTTGTAAATAAAGACCCAAAACATTTCTAATCTTAAACATTGAAGTAAATGTGAGCTACATGAACATTTAAGAAGGATTAATAAAAATAAATAATTACTCAATTTTTGGTGAATTGTTATGTGACAGTGGTCACAGTAGTGGTGGGTTAAATCAAGGAATAAATGTTTACAAATGGAAAATTGTAAGGAGCACCTCCTACCACTGAACAGTTCAAAACAAGTGTGGCAGGTTCACTGAGTGCTTTCATACTGACTTGTTTATTGTGCACTTGAATGATTATCATATGCTTTACAAATTTTTGTTTTACATACTTTGTATTCACTTCTTCCTTCATTTTCCAACCTGCTTATTCCAGTTCAGGGTCACAGGTGGCCAGAGTTTATCCTGGCAGCTCAGGGCACAAGGTAGGAACCAACCCTGGACAAGATACCATGTCATCTCAGGGCACACACACACATACACGTGCACACACACACACACACACGTGCACTCATTCATGCTGGGACTATTTAGACATGCCAGTGAACCTAATGTGCACATCTTTGGGTTGTGGGAGGAAACCAGAGTACCCAGGGAAGACCCACAGAGATGTGAGGACAATGCAAAAACTCTACTCAGACAGGGGCCCTGGCTAGGAATTGATTTTCTTTTTTTCCTTGTCTGTGTTATAACTTTACTTGAGGACCTGTTGTAGACATGTTTTTTACAGTGGTGTGACCTAACAGTGGCAAAAGCAAATTCTGTGAATTATTTACTTCCTGTGAATTCTGGGATTTTGCAAGTCATTAAACATTGAGGATAATGGGAACTAGGTTTCCCACGGCTGAAAATCGGAGTTACAAATTCAGTAGATTATAATGAACCTTGAAATGTTTATGGCTCATACGTACACCTGTTAGGTATATATGTGTGTGCATGTATTATATATATGGACATATATGGAGAGAGAGCTGAACAGAATAGGTATATGCATATATGGGGTGTACGTGTAGATATATTTGTGGGATATACATAGACCCTCACATATATCCTAGCTCTGTCCACTCAGAGGAAACCAGAGCTACTTTAAGAAATGACTGATCACAAGGCTGAGCAGAGAAAGTATCAAAGATGTTGGGTCATGTTGTTTTGCCATAATGTAAGGAAGTGCCCCGGTTAAAAAGTCACAAGAAGCATCTTGAAGGGGCTTACTGGCCAAATCTGGGATAATTTGGGTGTCAAAATTATACCACTAGATTATTACCCAGTGAATAAAATAATTCAATGGAGAAGTTAGAGCTCATTTCGATATTAGGATGCCAACTAATAAATGTAGAAGAAATGATGGAGTTTAGAAAAATCACTGTTTTTTGTACTCATCGTAGCAAAACATCGTGTGCTACCTGATGTGGCATGCTGAGAAGGCTTACACCATTCCTTTTGTGGCACATTCCTTTTCCAAAATGTGTAACTTGAGTCTAATTACGAAGAAACTTGAGATAAACCCAAATTGAAGGGTTTTCTAAAAATAGCTGGCCTATACTCTTCCAAAATGTCAAGGTCATAGAAGATAAAGAGGCTGACGATTAAACATTTCAGATTAAAAGAGACATAGCAACTGAATGCAGTGTGACATCTCAGATTGAATTCTGGGTTAGGAAAAAATGCTAAAGGAAATAATTGGGACAATTAGCAAAATTTGAATATGGACTATAGATTAGATAATAGTATTATGTCAGTGTTTTGTTTTTTGTTTTTTGTGTGTGACGGAGTTTCACTCTGTTGCCCAGGCTGGAGTGCAATGGCACGATCTCAGCTCACTGCAACCTCCGTCTCCTAGGTTCAAGCAATTCTTCCACATCAGCCTCCCGAGTAGCTGGGATTACAGACATGCACCACACTTCAATTTTTTTTTTTTTTTAATTTTTATTTTTAGTAGAGATGGGATTTCACCATGTTGCCCAGGCTGGTCTCAAACTCCTGACCTCAAGCAATCCACCCTCGGCCTCCCAAAGTGTTGGGATTATAGGCGTGAGCTACTGCGCCCAGCCTACGTCAATGTTAAATATAATTTTGGTAATTATTCTGTGGTTATATAAGAGAATGTCTTTGTTCTCAGAAAATATACTTAAGTTTTTAGAGATAAGGACCATGGTGTCAGCAATTTAACCTTGAAATGGTTCCAGAAAAATTAAATTATGCTTAATTTAATTTCAATTAATGATAATATGTCCTTTTATTGACAGTAAGAACAAATCATAAAGCAAATGTGCAAAATGTTAACAGTTGGTGAATTGGGGTAAAGCATTTACGGAACTTTGTAGTGTTCTTAAAACTTTTTTATAAGTTTGAAATGACATCAAAATTAAAAGTTACAAAAATATTTGACTATAAAGTACAAATTTTAGTCATTATATATTGATGGTCTTGCAGTTTTGTTTTGTTTTTCTAATCTTAAAATTTTGTTCTAGATATTTCACATGGCCCCTCTTCTTGTTTTAGTGACAACATGAACTGTCAAAAGCTTTGAGGTCGAGCATCTTGGGAGCAAGAGTCAGATCTTACTTGTTTTTTGTCTTCCTGTTGCCAAATACAGCTCTTGATGTGTTGTTGGTTTTCATGAATTTTGTTGTTGTACTTCTTTCCCCACTTACAGAGAAAACCTCTGGTGTTGGAAGGGATTGATTTGGGGCCATGTACAAGCAAATGGACAGTGGATTACCTAAGCCAAGTTGGAGGGAAGAAAGAAGTAAAGATTCATGTTGCTGCAGTTGCACAGATGGACTTCATTAGTAAGAACTTTGTATATAGGTATTTTCTTCTGAGGTTTACTCTGGGGATACAAATAACTTTTTTAAAACTTTTAAAATATTTTTGCATTATTATACAAAGACCATATGGCATTTCATCTTTTGGCTGGTTTGATGTAATCATGGAATAGCTTACTGATTTTTAAAGAGTGGTTTTTAAAAGACAAGAATTCTGAGTTTACATAATTATACAATGACAATTTTTTATTTTATTTTATTTTTTTTTTGAGACAGAGTTTTACTGGGCCACCCAGGCTGGAGTGCAGGTGCGTGATTTTTGCTCACTGCAACCTCTGCCTCTCGGGTTCAAGTGATACTCCTGCCTCAGCCTCCCGAGTAGCTGGGATTACAGGCATGTGCCACTATGCCCAGCTGACTTTTGTATTTTTAGTAGAGACAGGGTTTCACCATGTTGGCTGGGCTGGTCTCAAACTCTTGGCCTCAAGGCATCCACCTGCCTCAGCCTCCCAAAGTGCTGGGATTACAGGCATGAGCCACCATGCCTGGCCAACAATTTTTTAAATAGGGTATATACCCAATACCTTCTGGAGTCATGGAAGGAAGAGAAAATTTCTGTAACTAGGGTTAGATTTCATACGAAGTTGGATGTGCCGTACTCATTCAATGCTTGATTAATTAGTTGATCCTATCACATTAGTAACTGTTATCTAGAATAGGAAATTCTAAAAGGCTCGTGTTTTCTTTTTCTGTCCTCTCCAGAAAACCAGGACAAGCTATGTTTGGTATAATATTTCATCATCTTAGATAACTTTTAAAAATCATACTTAATTTTCCCTTTTGATAAAATAGTCTTAAGTACCTTTAATTTCTCCCATGATTGTCATTTTATGCTGTGGAATTTCTTAAAAGTAAATAAGAAATAGTCAAAAGCTGCTGATTGTCTAAAGATGAAAGTTTTAAATGCTGTCATCTTGCAGATTTCATTTGCTATTTATTCCCATGAGTTTCATTTAAATTGTTAAATTAAAAACAAACAGCTTTCAAACTCTGAGCATGTGAAGTTCCCAGCAAATTCAGTCTATTGAAAAACCATGTAGTTCACAAGACTTCAATTTAGAGATGAGTTAAACAGAGCTTCTAATGTCCACAGCCATTCCTTTCTCATTAGTTTTCCAAGTTCATATAGCAGCTGCCAAAGCATTGCTCAGTTTTTAATCCTTTGAATAGTCACCATAATGGTTTTAGTTATTAATAGTCCATGAATTGAATTTAATTGCCTTAAGTTTTTCCAAGTGTAGGAACTTTTCATTTTTTATCAAATTAAAAATGCCAGAACGATGAGTGTTTTTCAGCCAGCAGTTAATGATGTTTATTTTCCAGGGAGTCCAATGCCATAACAAATGAGTACTGAAACTTCATCTTGAATTGCCTTGATGTTTTGTCATGTCTTTTTAAACTTTTCAAAACTTGTTTTTGAAGCACATACATTATGTAATAGTTCCTATCGCAGCTTCCGCCAAGCCTTTCACTAGAGCTACTAAAAAGTTGCAAGATTATTTTTTTAGTGCAACAAAAAAAATAGGTTTAGTCATTTTTAGCATTTACCAGGCAGTAGGAAAGAAGGAATGCAACCAGGCCAAAGAGAGACTAGAAAGTGAGAAACCCTGCACACACATATATATTATTATTATCACTTGAAATTGAGGTTGCTTTTATGCTTTATCAAACTTTGGAAGAGTGATACATTAACAAGTATGAACTTTTACTTCTTTCTTCTTGGTAGCGCTCATTGTTCAGAGTCAGGAGAGTATGGACAAAAGAACCTTGTGTGGTGAAAGGATATTGTTGGCATTCTTCTGATCATAGATTTTTTTTTAAAAAAGTCTCATCATGTAAGGTTTGCCACATCTTCCTGTCACATCCTGTAATTCCTGTCATCATCTTGCTCTTGTTTATTGTACTCTCCTCAGTTCTGATCTTGATTTTATAAAGCAGCCTTTTCCAAACGGGGAACAGGACAGTGAAGGGCTTTCTTCTTCTTTTTTAAAGTGTTGGTGACTACTTGCATGCTGCAGAAGGGTACGTTGTCATTGTTGTTAACCCCACCATCTGTCCTTTGCTGAGCACTTATTATATTCCAGGTACTGTGCCAAACCATCTAGGTTATATTACTCATTTCAATGGCAGAACAATCTGTGAGGCAGATATTTTTCATAATAATTTCACAGATGAGGAAAGAGAGGTTAAAAATATTAAGTAACTTCTCCAGGATCACATAGCTTGAAGTGACAGAACCCAAGGTGTTTAATTTCCCTGACTCCACGGAGCCCATGATTAAGCCTTCTTTGACATTACCTTCCTTACTGATGCTGCCAGTCCAGACAAATGGCACTTTAATAACCAATGCCCTTCTTTTTGAAGCATGGATAGGATAGATTTTTAAAAAGCCAAAGAACTTCCCAATTTACATACCTAGTTTCTCCCCCATCTGGGCTTAGTAGAAGCTATGACAGGTACCATTACCTAGGAGAGAAGGTTGCTGGTGGCATCCCAGTTCTGCTTCTCTGGGCTGAGCTACTCTGTCTGCTCTTTCAGGGTCACTATTCTGCTCTGTTTTTCTAAAAGTCTTGAAACACTTTTTTGTTCTCCCTAGTAAGAAAGCTAAGCTTGGGTAAATGTAGCAATTATAGTAGTAGCTATGGTCCAGATAAACTTCCCCACTGGCCCAGACAAAGATGCTTTGAAGAATGAAAGCAAGAAGGAATGAAGGGTATGTGGTGAGGTCAGAGATGGGAAACATTGAGTAGGAGAATGCCAAATAAATTTGTTGATATTAGTCAGACACTATTTATAGTCAAAGAAATAGTACTCTGCATTGGTCTAAGTAGATGGCAGATCCCTCTTTTCTCTCCTGCAGTGCTCACTCTACATAATTACCAGCAGTGGCCTCAAGTTCAGATTGACATACAGAGCATCCACCAGTCCATAACCTGGCTTCAGATTCCCTTACCTTTCTGCAGGAGGATATAAGGCAGGAAACGGCATTCTAGCAGGATAGTATCAGTGGAGTCTTTATACAAATCCAGGGACTGTTTTTTGACTCATCAAGTTACAGCTTAGTTGTAAGGGAATGAGACAATGGAGGTAGTATAGAAACAGCTGAGCTTAGGTAAAACATACGGTCCATAGAAACCAGTAGCTTGAAACACCCCATGAACTTAGCTTCTGCTTTCCTCCAAGGACCATACTCAGGAGAGTTGCACTACACACAGGAAAGCCAAATCATCTGCTTCTGAACAAGTATTTGTAGTCCATTTTTAGGCCACCTAGTGCAAACATAATTCATCTATCAGATTATTTTTACAATAAACAGTGTTACCCAATATCACAACTGACATTCCACATTTATCTTTAATTTTTTTGTATTCATCGTAATTCATGGGTTCACACCGTGTTTGTGTTTACCCAGTATGTTTCTGGGAAAACAGTGCAAGGAGAAAGTAAGCTGGCCCAAGGTCATCTTCTCATAGAGAAGGAGAAAGTATTCAACCTTTTCTTTCAACTTTCTCAGTACAGAGTTCAAGTGGGAAGATATTTAGTAGTAAGACTGAAAAGATTACAGCTTTTAATCACAAGTTTGGAGGCAGGAGTGTAGTGGGGGTAGCAGAGGAGAGGCTTTTGAGGACTCAATGTCTTGTTACCTATACCATATCATCTTCATTTACAGGGCAATACTTTTGATTCTAGAGAGTAAAGGGATAGATGCAATCTAGAATAAGAATATCCTTCTGGCTCAAGAGTGTGATGTAAAGGAAACAAATTTTGGTTCCACAGTGTTCAGCCCTGTTCATCAGGATGGAAGGAGACAGGCATTTGGGCAGAAATTTTGAAGAATAAAAATTGGTCACTTCACTGGAATTCTCCTTGAACTATTCCTCAGTAGCCTTAAAATGATAGAGGGTGGTGCAGCAGGATGAGAGCAGTGTTACTGGCTTCTGTGTTCTGTGATATGCCAAAAGGCAGGAATATGGGGGGTGGTTATCTTCATGGGACCATTTGTGTACTGTCTCTTCCAAAGTAACACTAGTAGTTTGCCCCACTTTTCACAAGATTTGTTTTGCCATGACACTTAAAAATAAGTAGCAATCAGAACCTGAAAGTCTGTATATTTACAAAGGTCATCAGATACCATAGAAACATTTTTCTGTCATAACTTGGAATAGAATATTGACCTATGGAAGGATCCATAGGTCAATACTGTACCATAGATTTTGAAATCTTTAATTCCAAAATTTCAGACAACTTAGGTCAAGTAAACATACTGCTCAATAAGTTTTGAAAAGTTAGAATTTCATGTAATAGGTTATAATAAAAATTACAGATATTATAAAACAGGAAATTATATCCAACTCCGACAAGCCTTTATGTATAGTCATTAGATTCTTACTAGTTGATCTGTTATTATTAAGTCCAAGAATTCTTTTGTGTTTATTTCAGAACTTTACCTTTTGACCAGTTGGTCCAGAGGGCAGCTGAAGAGAAGCATAAAGAATTCTTTGTTTCAGAGGTAATTGCTTTTAACATTTTTAAAATTAGGCATTAATATCTATATACTAAATGGATTTCCTTATGAAGGAATAGTAGATATACAAGAGCTATAGCCTTCTCTGATAGACATTCGTAAGATTTGGTTGGATGCATCATAGACTGTAGCTCTGCTATTTATTAGCTCTCAAACTTTGGCCAAATTATTTTTCTGTACTTCAGTATACTCATCTGTGAAATGGGGGAAATAATAGTACCTATTTTATAAAGTGTTTGTGAGGATTAACTAAATAAAATCAGTAAAATACTTAGCAGTGCCTGATGTGTGGAAATTACTCATTAAATGTTAGCTATTAATGTTACATCCTTTTAAAATGCTTTGGTCTGATATGTCAACTTCAAATGCTAATGGAAAACTTCATTTTCGTATCTATTGACTATTAGACTGTTTCTGTATTCTTATTATCAATGTGATTTCTTTTGTGTATATTTGCTATAATATTTGTTCAGGATTAAATGCGGAAGAATTCTACTTAATTATAGTCTAACTTTAAATAATTCAGTTTAAATACCTTGAGATAAGGCATCAAGGCCTTGTATATAAATATGTTTTTAAAAATTTCCTGTGTTGGCCAGGCACAGTGGCTCACGCCTGTAATCCTAGCACTTTGGGAGACCAAGGCGGGTGGATCACCTGAGATCGGGAGTTCGAGACCAGCCTGACAAACGTGGAGAAACCCCGTCTCTACTAAAAATACAAAATTAGCTGGGCATGATGGTGCATGCCTGTAATCCCAGCTACTTGGGAGACTGAGGCAGGCGAATCGCTTGAACCCGGGTGGCAGAGGTTGTGGTGAGCTAGATCGCGCCATTGCACTCCAGCCTGGGCAACAAGAGCGTTAATTGTCTCACACACACACACAAAAATTCACTGTGTTATTCAAAAGCACATTTTAAAAACAAATTGCTTTTTAAGCTTTGAATAAACCTGTTTTCTGCATTTGAGCCAGCTGGGCTGGGCAGTTTGGTTTCAAAAGGTGTTGCATTTTTACAGTCCTCTTGTCAGGTAATAGTTACACTAGATTATCGCCGCAATCCCCACAAACTTTGTAGGTCTGTGATTCTGTAGTATAACCAAAATGTCTTTTTAAATTGATTCCATTAGCTACACCTGAGAACTGTTTTATAACTTTATAGCCATGCTTTGAACATGTGTATTCAGTTGCCCTTTGGTACTTTCCTGTCTAAGGGTAATCAGTGGTATAGATTTAAATAGCCATGAAATGTGAAGTAAAAGAAATAGACACATGGTAAAAGATTAAAGTCTAAAAATCATGGAAAGTATGTAAACAAGATCAACATGAACTGTCAGTTTGGTCCTCTAGGAAGCAGATGCTGTGATGGAATTAGGAGTGCAAAAGGCTTTTTAAATAGGAGAGATACCTGTGAAAGGAAGTGGGAGGAAGCAGGATTGGATAGGGGAAGCCATGAGCTGTAGATACAGATCTGACAGTCTCTGACGGCTCATTGGAACTCCTGAGCAGACTGCCTGTGAGAAAAGTCCTGCATTGGGTGGCAGTGTCTAGGTCTTTTAACAGCTTAAGTCACTGGTTGGGACTACCCCAAGAAGAGCATGACCTAGGTTCCAATCCTGAAGTGGACCTGAAGAAGTTAACAGCCAGTAGCTCTAAGCTAATCACACTCCTTGCAGTTAAGCAGTAAGTTCTTTCCTGAAGGAATTTCTGAGCAATGCACTTCTGTGTCTGCTGCATTAATTTTATTTTTTAAATCTTGAAATGTTAGAACTAGTAGAAAACCCTTAGAATTTTGAAGAACATATTTTGAAACCTATTAGCCAGTAATTTATAGAATCTATGTGATGTAGTGCTAGCTAAAAATAGAAAAACACTGAGAGTTCAATTAAAACCTCAATCATCAATTTATGTCTTAAGATAAATATGAAGATCTTTTGAAGTTTATAATGCTCAGTGTTGGGTGAAAGAGGCAGAATTCTGAGTTTAGATTGTCCAAGTGCTTGACTTGGTATATCTCACTTCTCTAACAGTGAATGTTTTATAATTCAAACAGTTCTCTATTTAGGTACTTGGTGAAGGATAAATAATAATTTTTGGCCACGCACAGTGGCGCATGCTTATAATCCCAGCACTCTGGGAGGCCAAGGAAGGAGGATCACTTGAGTCTAGGAGTTCGAGATCAACCTGGACAACATAGCGAGTCTTCTTCTCTACAAATAGTAAAAATAATTAGCTGAACGTCCCAGCTACTTGGGAGGCTGAGGCAGGAGGATTGCCTGAGCCCAGGAGGTTGAGGCTGCAGTGGGTGTGATCGCATCACCGCACTCCAGCCTGGGTGACAGAATGAGACCCTGTCTCAAAACAATTAATTAAAAAAAATTAAATCATGATTTTTTTAAACGATCAGTTTAAGTTTACTACAATAAAATTATATTTTTCTAATTCATACAAGAGCTGAATCTTAAGCATTTGGCTTGAGAATTTTTAGGCAGGGATAGGCTTAGCTTGATAAAATGCAGCGTTCTCAAATTTAAAAAAATATATTATTAAAAGCATAAGGTATCTGTTACTGTACATTTGTATTATATTTACGAAGTATTAAGACACTATTAAAATAAGAGTCTAAATAATTTGGAATGTAAAGACTTAAATCATTGTAGCTTTAGAGATGGTATGTATATGTTGCCTTTGGAATTTATTCTCCTTACTGTTTTTTGGATCCAGTCACTATCATGAGCAACGTATTAAAGACATTTCTTCATATGGCCACCAGAGAGCATTAGTAGAAAGGGTAAGAAAATTGAAGTTTTTTTTTTTTCTTTTTTGAAACAAGGTCTTGCTCTGTCAGCCAAGCTGGAGTGTAGTATCACGATCATAGCTCACTGCAGCCTCAGCCTCCCAAGTAGCTGGGACTACAGGCACGCACCACCATGCCCAGCTAATTTTTTGTATTTTTTTGTAGGTGGTGTCTCACTCCAATGTCCAATCTGGTCTTGAGCTCTTGGACTTAAGCAATCTTCCTGCCCTGGCCTCCCAGAGTGCTAGTATTACAGTTGTGACCCCTCGCGCCCAGCGATAATTGAACTTTTTAGAAAACTACTTAACTGGGTCAGATTTTAAGACTTGTTTCCTTCTTTACTTCCTAATATTTTTGAAGTGAAGGTGTTTTATTTTCTTTCATAGTTCTCAGTACATAATTATTTTTTTACTTTTAATTATTATGAATACATGATAGCTGTATGTATCTTAGTATTTTTACATTTAAAAAGGTAAAATATTGCTGATGTTATTTTTCTTTGGGATGTTTAAGGATGAGAAATACTACTTACGGTCACTTGGAGAAGACCCTAGAAAGGTAAGAATTCTAAATGTAAAACAGTTCCCTAAAATCTAAATGGTCGTATATATGTTAACTGGCAACACTGTAATTTTTATACTTACTGCCTGACATATTCCCTGTTCTGTCCTTTTCCATTCTTTTCCCAGTGTTTTGTGCCCCTGAATAAGAAGTAAGATGATTAAAAATCGATTACTTAGTATTCAGGTAGGCCTGTAGAATCTTAGTGTTTATAGTCATCTAATCTCTATATAATAAGAAATCTCTTCTACTGTATATTTTATATGTGGCGACTCAGTTAATAAAATATTAATTTGAAATAATTATTAGAATCCTGAGTAGTTCATTGTATAAGTTTTAACATGTATTCAGAGTCAAATTAGTATGGCTGCCATATTAAGGAGTAGTCCCTAAAATGATCAAATAAGATTATTTTTTCCATTTATGTCACCATTTAGTTGTTTACCCTCTCTTTTAGTCCCCTCCCTCAGTAGAATTCACAGGTTTTATGAAGGTGATGACTAGTAATGTTAGTTCAAGGTGTTGACTCCTGAATATTAGAGTGAATGACAATTGTGTAATTCTTGCTCAAAGTAGAAAGAACCTTTCTATTATTGAAGCATATTGAGCTTAACAGTAGTGATACTATTAAATCTGCAATCTTGTTACACAGCCTGGTATTTTTTCATTTGAAAGATCATATATCGGCCAGGCAAGGCGGACTCATGCCTGTAATGCCAGCCCTTTGGGAGGCTGAGGCGGGTGGATCACCTGGGGTCAGGAGTTCGAAACCAGCCTGGCCAACATGGGAAATCCCGTTTCCACTAAAAATACAAAAATTAGCTGGGCGTGGTAGGAGGTGCCTATAATCTCATCTACTTGGGGGAGAGAGAGAGAGAGAGAGAGATCCTGTATTGGCACATGGTCACATCATAGTATTTTAAAGCAGTGAACAAAGTTTGCTTGCCCCAGTCTGCCTTAATATCATAGGGTCTAATGTGATGTTTTCTTTTTATGTTTCTGTAAATGCAGGATGTTGCAGATATCAGAAAGCAGTTTCCTTTGTTGAAAGAAGATATTAAGTTTCCAGAATTCTTCAAAGAGGAACAATTCTTTTCCAGTGTTTTTCGAATTAGTTCACCAGGATTACAACTATGGACTCATTATGATGTATGCTACATAAATGAGAAATTTAAAGCTACAGTAGATCTTTTGCATTATAGATTTAACAGTCAGTTTCAACTTCCTATAGGTTATCCTAAAGATCTGTGTAATTTACTGAAACATGACTTTTGAAAATAGGTGCTGTGCATAGCAGTGATAGAAGAATGAATTATTTTGCTAATGGCAAAATAGTTGGTTCCTCACATTTGTATTTCCCTGTGGTCCTATTCTTGATTCATCATCATATATATACCAAGTTTTATGAAGTGATTTTTTTTTCCATGTGAAAAATGGCCACCAGATAATGGGGGAAACTGTATTGGAAAAAGCGGTAAGCTTGTAATATGAGGAGGTATAAATGATACACATGACTCTGGCCACCCAGAGATCCATAACTCTCTGGGTCATCCAGAGTTATATTATTCAGGAAAAAGGCTGAAGCTTGTTGAGTCATTACCAATTGTAAGAATTTGGGGATGTCTGAAGATCTTAGGATATATATATATATATATATATATATATATATATGCCTTGAGAATATCAAATATCTGCTGTATTTGTAGGGCAGCAAAAATGTGTACAATATTGATATTGATCAGCCGGGGACAGTGGCTCATGCCTGTAATTCCATCACTTTGGGAGACCAAGGCGGGCAGATCACGAGGTCAGATCGAGACCATCCTGGCTAACACGGTGAAACCCCGTCTCTACTAAAAATTTTAAAAATTAGCTGGGCGTGGTGGCGGGCATCTGTGGTCCCACTTACTCCGGAGGCTGAGGCAGGAGAATGGCGTGAATCCAGGAGGTGGAGCTTGCAGTGAGCCGATGGCGCCATTGCACTCCAGCCTGGGCGACAGAGTGAGATTCTGTCTCAAAAAAAAAAAATTTTGATCTTGATTATTTGTAGTGTTATTTTGTTTGCTTAAGTTTATATACACATCTATAAGCATTTTAAAAACATTAAAAATACTAGTATGGTATATGGTTTGGTGTTGGGAAGTAGAGAAACTTAAGGAAGGTAAAGGAATATCTAACAAGTTTCCAAAGAAAAAAAAATTTTAAGTTATAAATCACACTATAACATTTTATACATGTGTTTTATAATTAAGTTGAGACCCTCTTGGGAGGATTTTACCATAGTCAGTAAATCTGTAATTAAATGAAATAGACATAAACTCTTAGCATATTTTGCAGTTTTATATGAATAATATGAGAAAATCATGTGGTAATACATTTTAACTATATTCTATGATGATGATGATGCTGATGATGATGATGATTGTTGTTTTTTGAGACAGAGTCTTGCTCTTTCACCCAGGCTGGAGCGCAGTGGCACGATCCCAGCTCACTGCAACCAGTCCCTTGCAGGTTCAAGCGATTCTCATATCTCAGCTACCTGGATAGCTAGGATTACAGGCATGCACAACCACACCCGTCTAATTTTTTTTATTTTTAGTATAGATGGAGTTTTGCGATGTTGGCCAGGCTGGTCTCGAACTCCTGACTTCAAGTTATCCGCCCACTTCGACCTCCCAAAGTACTAGGATTACAGGCATGAGCCACCGCACCCAGCCTCTATGATTATGTTTTAAATTTTGAGTAGTATACTTTTACATAAATTATAGTAGAATATAATGTATAAAGCTTTTATTATAAAATTAAGTCAGAGGAACGCTAAGTAAAGGGTTAGTACTAAAAGGAAGAATGCTTAGGTAGAAGTAAAAAATCATGAATATATCTTGCTTAGTGTTTATCTTAAATCCTTAGCTGAGAATTATGTGGCTCTGCCTTTAACATTTTTTCACAATCTATACCAAGAAAGTATACCATTACATTCATGGGAAAAGAATGCTCCAATAATAAATATATTAAGAAAATCTGTCATAAATCATACTGTTTGCAGAAAAGAAAAAAAAGAAAATCTGTGAGATTATATTCGTATAGAAATAATTTGAAAATTAAGATACCTGTAATGAAATTATGGATGAACATATGTAAAGAGTGTAGCAGTGGTTGCAGCAGTACCTTGTATTTTCCTAGCATCTGATTTTTCTAAGTGCTTTTACTCTGTTGTCTAATTTTGGGCTTATAGCATTGCTTAACAGATAGTAAATATTCACCAAGGGGAGCCTTAAATAGGCTTAACTATGCTGTCAGTTAATAGTGAGGCAAAGGCAAATAGTTTTCTGACTCCACATTTTCTAATTTGCCAAGTCTTCCCATTTTAGGGCAGTACTCCAGAAATGTCTTTAAGGCCCAGTTGTTTATAGAATACAAATGTTTTTATTGTTAGGTAACTGTAAGAGTTAAGTAAAGTAAGTCAAGTCTCATTAAAGGATCGGGTTTGCAGTTAAAGTTTAGAATGCCATTGGTTCTATTTATTTGAATTTTAGATAATGATTACCCATAAGCTTTTATTGGTCTTCAGGTAATGGATAATTTGTTAATACAAGTGACAGGAAAAAAGCGTGTTGTACTCTTCAGTCCTCGAGATGCCCAGTATTTATATTTAAAAGGTATGGGATTTTTCTTTAAGTTTATATTTCTGAAGTCTGTTCAGTTACTCTTTTTGAGAAATCTCTTGATTCTTACAGGAAAAGAACACTTTAGGACTTAATCGTAATTGTATTTGTGTATATATGTAATAACAGGTTCAAATTTGACATTATCTTAATTATATTACATGGGTATCGTCATCAGAATTAAAGAGTGAGTCATTGAAAATTGTCTTAGGTGTCAGTAGCATAGTAATTCTCACAGTGTGGGTACAGTAAGTAACTGGATAGAAAAGAATAAATTTTCAAATTTATATTTGTGATTACTTTTTTTAAAATGCTAACTTTGCTGAATCTATATTATCCCTTTTTGGAATTTTTTAGGTACTAAATCAGAAGTACTGAATATAGATAACCCAGACTTGGCTAAATATCCACTTTTTTCCAAGGCTAGAAGATATGAATGTTCCCTTGAAGCTGGTGATGTATTATTCATTCCTGGTAAGATTTCTAGACCTCACTAATGTGCTATTTATAAAATGTGTACTCTGTCACTCATCCTTCATGTGATTTTTTTTTTTTTTTTTTTTTAGTACAAACATATATTTGTTATATGTATCTGGTCCTATACGAGATGATTTTTAGACAAAACTCTGTGTGTGTGTGTGTGTGTGTGTGTTTTAAAGCAGGCCTAGGCAAACTTATAAAACAGTCCTTGCACTTTTGGCCTATAAATTAACAGGTCTTGCACTTTTGGCCTCAAGCAATCCTCCCACCCTGAACTTTGGGAGGCTAAGGTGGGAGGATTGCTTGAGGCCAAAAGTGCAAGACCAGCATGGGCAACATAGCGAGACCCTGTCTCTACAAATATAAATAAATAAATTTAGTCAGGCATGGTGGTGTGCATCTGTAAGTCCCAGCTGCTCAGGAGGCTGAGGCAGAAGGATCTCTTGGGCCCAGGAGGTTGAGGTTGAGGAGGTTGATGCCATGGCATCATGGAATCACTGTACTCCACCCTGAGCAACAGAACAAGACCCTGTGTCTAAATAAACTAAATTAACAGTCTTGCCTTCAAGGGCAACCTATAAAAATAATACTATACTCTAAACTATTTTACTAAGTGACATCAAGTAAGACACTTTTTTTATGGCTTTTTTTATTATTATTATTATTTTCCAGGTAAGACACTTTATATCTGGGAAAACATTATACTGGTTGGTTTAAAAAAAAAATTTTTTTTAAATAATATTATACTCTATTTTATTAAATGACATCAAGTAAGACACTTTGTATCTGGGAAAAGCTTATACTGATTGGTTTTGTAAATTATTTTATTTTTAAAATATTTCTGTATTTTAGAACTTTGTCACTTAAACATTTACCAAAAAAAAAGATAAATATCTTTCAAGGCCAAAACAGATGAAAGATTTCATTAAATATTAAAATGTTATAATCTCAACACCTGTAGTATCATTTGTGTACATTATTTTTCTATACAGTCTGGATTTGTGTCACTTAATTTCTTTGTTCAATTAATAGGCATTAGTTTGAAAGTCCATAAAGTTCAACACAACAAGGTAATTAACATCTGTAATTAGTACTTAAAAGTGAACTCTTGAAGATTATAAAAGTCATAATTAAAATTAAAGGGATATGTTAACAAATTCTATTTATAATTATAGTTCCATATTTAAATTAATATATTAAGAATCATTAATACTTTTCATTGATAAAAATAATATTAATAAAGATAGATATTTGATTATTTCATTTGGGACTAGATAAATTCCTTGAAGACAAAGAACTATGTTTTGTTCATCTTTGTCTTCCCCAAAATGGCCTGATATAATATAATGGTTTTCATATAATCATTTATAAAAATTTGATTGACTTTTTATTCTTATTTTCATTGAAAGCAACCCATGTATTAGTCTTCAAATCCATTGCCATCTTTTAAATTTACATTTTTGGTTTTTGTATCTCGGGAGCATGATTCAGGTCTATGTAGTTTTCCCTTATTCTTCATACAATTGTTTTAAGAAAAAAAAAATAGAAATACTGAACATTTGCATATATTTTTAAACAAAAGCAAAATTCCTATCTTTGGGTTTAAATTCAACTGAATGGTTAGCATTTTTTTCCTATTATATTGAATAAGGGAAAAAAAAAGATTCTGAAAGAAAGTGTAGTTAAGATTAAAACCATGTTTGAAAATTAGTTTTCCAAATCAAAATATGTTAAGCTTTTGTTTTTCCTTAAACACTCTTAGAATAAGTTTCTAAAATTTAAATCTCCCTTTCACAGGAATAAAAGGGTTTTTTCATGATTAGTGTTCCATCTTTGTTATATTGTGGTATTGCTTTAGTATTCCTCTAGCACCTATATTCTGAAAATGTTTAGATTCACTTGAAAATAAAGAAGTAAACTTCCCAGTAAAAGGAAAAAAATTAATTAGGTATATAATAAAGTTTACTCATCATTTCCACCACCAAAATATTTGCTATAGTGTTGTATACTATTTATAAAGGAGCTGAAGGAAATATAAGACGATTATAATTGCATTCAAAATATAAAACGAGGAGGCTATAATGAATACGAATGTAAGCAAGTTAGAAAACCAAATTGCAGCTTGAACAGGAAGTCTTTAGGGACAAAAGTATTATAATGAATCAGAAAAGGTCAAAGATACTCCTCAAGTAATTGAAATGTTCTGTGTACCAAAAAATAAACACTTTGATGTGGTTCCATGACTCAGGAAGTATAAACAAGTAAAACACAGCCCTAGATTAGAGAACTGCAAAACAAATATATCTTTATTATGTCTTTCAAGTTTAAAGGAAAAATTGCTATTTCTAAAGGTTTTAAAAGTAAGGGTTGTGCTATTGACACTTTAAATTTGTTGGCAATTCATAAAAGTTAAAATGATTCTGTTAAAAGCCTGGAGTGTGCTAACGAAGGGATCTGGTTACAAGAATTATTTCTTACATTGGCTATATGCAATTCGTGATATTTCACTGACATTTTGGGTTTTTTTTTAACTGTAGGTTTTATTTTTAACTTGTTTTTTAAACTTTCTCCAGCTTTATGGTTCCATAATGTAATTTCTGAAGAGTTTGGAGTGGGAGTGAATATCTTTTGGAAGCACCTTCCATCTGAATGCTATGATAAGACAGATACCTATGGAAACAAAGATCCTACAGCAGCATCAAGAGCTGCACAAATTTTGGACAGAGCCTTGAAAACACTGGCCGAATTACCAGAGGAATATAGGGACTTCTATGCACGACGAATGGTCCTACACATTCAAGACAAAGCCTACAGCAAGAACTCTGAGTAAATAATGAAGTGAATGCAATGTACATCAACACTTTAGTAAGGTATAACGATATAAATTATTTTGTTAAAATAGGAAAGATACATCAGATTTACAGATTATGTAAGTATGAAGGGGTATTTGTGTGCATTCTACTTGATACAGATTGTTATAATTAAAGAATGCTGTGCTCAGACCACTATTTAACATTCAGATGCTGACCACTAAAAGTCCAACTTAAAATGACTTAAAAACAGTAAGAAAATATATTGAATCACAATACATGAAATCTATTGACAGAATGGGCTGCAGTGTTTCTGATCCAGTGATTCAGTAATGTCATCAAGAACCTTGGGAGCCCGTCTCCACACCCCACCCCCTTTTCAACCACAACATTGGCATCATCCTAAGGCTGGCTACCCTCGTGGTCATGGGATGATTGCCAGTAGCAGTTGGAGCCTTGTGCATCTTCATTTACATGCAGCGGAAGAGTCAGGCTGGATTCCAGGGGCCCCGTCCTAATATGAGAAAGCTTTCCCAGAATTCATTTTCCATATCCTTAGGTCTCATTGCTCTAAAGTAACTTAGACCTGTCCATCCCTAAGCCAGTCACTGGCAAAGAGTCTGGAATAACCTTTACGGCAGTCAGGTCCACTGGAGCTGAGAGTAGAAGTGGAGACCACATGAGGGATATATGGGGGCAGAAAGGGTAGTTTTTTTAAAAATCTTGGTTCTGATAGGAAAAACATGAGCAACCAACAGTATTTATTACATTTGCCTAGAAGCAGAATTTTTTGAGGAACTTTAAAAAATGTACAGATACCTAGGTCCCAACTTTGTAGACGGATTCATGTTTGGGATTTGGTATAGGAACTTAGTAGACCTCATAGGGTGTTTTGATGCATAATCAGAGCTGAGATCAACTGAACTTGATGATAGTGACTTGGATTATTAGTTTTGTGATTAGTCCAAAACAAATGTTTAATCTGATCTTGACTTTTCTTGCCACCCAGTATGTCAGGTCTGTCTTTTTTTTGGTTTTCGAATGTTAGAAAATAAATGTTTTAATTTATACTTATGTCTAAACCTTAGCCTAATTAAAGATTTCCCAACTTTTTTCTCCACTTACCCCTTTTTTAAAAGAAAAAATTACTTAAAGAATGAATAAATGAGATCCTAAAAGTGTTGTCATTGAAGACAGTGAGCCATTGTGTGTGGATCTCTGCTTTTCTTTTTGTACCTAGTAATTATATTGCAGTGTCATTGAAGACCAGATAATCTTCGCTGAACATAAATGTGTTCATCTAAAGCAATCTCTTAGTACATCAATTTGGTGCATTTTAATTAGAGAAAATCATTTTCTCTATTGAAGAGAATCCATCCACTCATGTCCTATAAATTATAGTAAATAAGAAAGGAAAAGCATATAAAACATTCTGAATTTCCTAGGTGTCTTTGGAAACAGGTCAAGTTACTCAGGTGAATAAAAGTGAAAAAAGTCTTGTCAGAAAAGGAGTGATTATATTAGGCAAATTTAATTACCACATTTTGATCTTCATTACTTCAAGCAAAGCAAAGAACTTCTTTAATGATTCCTTGTCCTTCAGTAAGGAAAAAGACAAAACTCTCCTTAGTTTACACAGTATTTATGGTTTTTAATAAATCTTGTTTTTATCTTAACCAGCAAGATAATTGATACAAAGTATAAATCCAGTCATGTAGAAAACTTGGAAGTATCAATAAAACAGATTACAGTCTGTGCACTGAATATTCATCTTAATTGATTGTTTAATGGAGAAGCAAACTGTATGACCTGAGACAAAATAACATTTATCTATGAACCTTATTTTCCTCATCTTTAAAACAGAACTACAAAAATGCAGATAGATAGTTCAAGGGCAGGCACATAGTTGATGACTGGTGCTAGTTCTTCTATTTAATTATATTCTTTCTTTGCTGAGAGATTTGAGGTAGCTCTTGTTGCAGTATTAATTTTTATTTAGAAAGTTAGAGAACTTTCCTTTGGGATGTTTTAAAATTATTTCCCTGGTCATAATTTTTAATATTAGGGTCTGTTTATTTCAAATACAAAATAATCTTTTTTTCCTACTGGGTTAACCAAATGAGATGTTTGTTTTTAACGTATAAAATATTATACAGTGTATGTTAGCGCAACTTCTCAGGATTTCTGAATCTTAGAACTTTTTTATTGAAAGAGATCTTAGAAGCCATCTAACCAACCCAGATTGCTTAATGATTGTCTGGGCTCACATAGCTATGGGTGATAGAAACTGGGATTAGTTGTGACCAGTAACTCTCCATTCTTTCTCCCTAATGTGCAGCACCTCTCCAGTACTTCTGAATAGATTACACAGCTTTTCTTTGACTAGTCTGGGGGCTTGACCTGATGCAAAATGGAATTTTTTTCCTCTGCCAACAAAATTTCTCACTGCACTGCTTGCTACACAGACAAGATTCAAAATAAAAGTAATGATGGGTCAGGTGCGGTGGCTGATGCCTGTGTAATCCCAGCACTTTGGGAGGCCAACGCGGGCAGATCACGAGGTCAGGAGATCAAGACCATCCTGGCCAACATGGTGAAACTCCATCTCTACTAATAATACAAGAATTAAATGTTACATGAAAAACATATTTGAAACTGTACTGCCATTTGTGTAAAACAAGGTACGTGGTGTGTGAACACCTTATTTGCATATGCATATAATTATCTCTAAGGATGCACAAGAAACCAGTGATAGCTACGCCTCTAAGAAGAGGTTCAACTAGGTGTACTAGGTGGGCCGATTGGAATCTGCAGTTTTGTATTATTTGGACTTTTGTTTACATTATCCTTTCAAAATACGTTGTAAAAATACTATATGCATTGAGGTGGGCGCATCATCTGAACTCGAGTTCGAGACCAGCCTGGGCAATGTGGCGAATCTTTGTCTCTACTAAAAATACAAAAACTTAGCCGGGTGTGGTGGTGTGTGCCTGTAGTCCCAGCTACTCAGGAGGCTAAGATAGGAGGATCACTTGAGCCTGGGAGGTGCAGGTTGCAGTGAGCTGGAATTGTGCTACTGCACTCCAGCGTGGGTGACAGAGTAAGACCCTGTCTCAAAAAAAAAAAAAAAGAAGACTGTATGCAGAGCTGGGAGTGGTAGTCCACACCTGTAGTCCCAGCAACTTGGGAGGCTGAGGCAGGAGGAGCACTTGAAACCAGGAGTTCAAGTTCTTCTGTCTCAAAACAAAACTTAGCAGAGTATAATTATTAGTATTTCCATAACATTATTTGTCTTGGTATTTGAATACATTAGAATTCTATTTGTTCTGTAATTAATTTCTAACTCACTTTGATGAAATACCAAGTCAAAGGAAACAAAGTCAACAAAACTTAATTTGTATCCTTCATCCTTTTGAACAGCAGCTATGTGAACATTTGGAAAGAACCTTAGTAAGGCGGCTTTTCTATCACCTATAAAAAGTTGCCAACAGACATCAAAGGAGTTGACAAAAAAAAAAAAAATGCAGGAAGCTGGAAGGCAGGCCTGGATGGAATTGGAACTGTGCTGCTGTGACTCCTTTCCCCAGTGCTAAAAAATAGATGTAGTCAGGAGGAACTAACATAGATTGGCAGTCACCCATGCATCTCTGGTGTTACCTTAGTCTTGTTTCAAGCATACAAGCCACAAGTTTTTGGGTGTCTTAAACATACCTAAGTTGTAGTCCTCTTTTTTTTTTTAACTATAACTTCTAGGGTACATGTGCACAACGTGCAGGTTTGTTACATATGTATACATGTGCCATGTTGGTGTGCTGTACCCGTTAACTTGTCATTTACATTAGGTGTATCTCCTAATGCTATCCCTACCCCCTCTGCCCACCCCACGACAGGCCCCAGTGTGTGATGTAGTCTTTTTAAGTTCCATTAAACAGGATACTAAAATGACCTTTTTTGGTGACTCTGCCTGGCTCTACCACTAACTGGCTTAAAAGCTGCTGGGTCTCTGCCTTTGTAAAGAGCACATGAGTTTACAGATGAGGTCTGTCTATATCTCCTCTTATGTTTGTTTCTCTTAAAGACCTTCAAGTGAAATAAAACAAAATAGCTCTTTTATGAATACTACCTTTTGTTTTGTATTTTACCTCATAAGCTTTAATGTATTAAAAACATTTCTATACCAACATGCTGGGACTTTGTATTGTCTGTCCTATATCCTTATTGCCTACCCTCCTTGACCTTGGTGGTTACTTAGATTACATGAATGAAATGAAAAATAGATTACACCATACCCTAACCAAGTCTTGTAAGAAGCTAAAGGACTACAGAACTACAGATCCCTGAGATGATTAGCACCAAAAGGAGAAAAGGATGAACTTGTTAGAGGTTTTGTTCTCTATGAAATCCAATAAAAGAAGTGGATATAGTGCAAATTTTTATGGAGCAATTTTAAAGGAAGAAGATATGTATTTGTACAAAAAAGGTTCAAAGTTGCTCATTTGAAAAGACATGGAGGATAATGAAAAGACATAGGAGTAAGTCCTCAATGTGCACAGGTTCTTAAGAAACTGTGACTTTAAACAAAAGGACAAACAGCAGGTCCTCAACATTTTGTTCATTGTCATCTAGTTAAAACAATGAGAAAAAAATTGGTTTTGTTATATTGCTTCAAGTCCCAGTTTCCAAGAACCTACTGATACGTTAAGTGAGGACTTACTGTATACAAACCCAACCTAGCAGGGTAGACAGAAATGGCTTCCTTTTAAATAATCTGAAGTTTTAACAATGCTAATAATATAAAGCACATCCAAACAAACTTCTGTGGATGATCAATTTTAATACAATTATACATTCATGCTGTGGTGGTAACAACTTTCACATTATTTGTAGGACTACTTTTCTCAACTCATGACAAAGGCACAAACCAAAAGTATAAATTAACATTACAATAAGTTTTACATGTGGACAAAGGACCAATCTGAAATATTAAATAGAAAATATCTGAATATGGATCAATTTGAACATATTTTCATTCCAGAAAATATTTTTTCTTTTCAATATTGTCTCATTTTGCTATGATGGCAGTTTTGGTGCCTGGTGAGTTACTCTTAATATCCATCAACATGTAACATTTATAATTAAGCATTCACATACTGGATAGACAAAGAACCCAGATTTTTAAATACGTCTGATTTTTTAAAAAATATTTTATTTTTAAATGAATTCTGCTAAATGTCTTTTCCATTTCAGTTAATCATGTGAAAATAAATGCTTTTTCTTCCCCTTATAGAATTCGGTAACTCAGCTACTTTACTTTAGATACGTGTGAATTTAACCAAGGATTATTAAACAAATAGAAAAAAAGCCATCCAATCATAGTGCTTAAAGGCAATGTAATATGTAAAATGTTAAAATCAGGCTGATTTATTTCCTTCATGGGAATTTTTGGTCTCAAAAGAAACAGGAGGTATTTAAAGAAACTGAAGCAACATAATACTACTTTGTCTTTAAAAAAAAAGAAACCATTTAGCGATGCTGTTCTGCAGTTTATAAAATTAAGTGTTAAAACACCAAAAAGATGTTATTTTTAAGCATTTGTTAAGAATTCTTTCTCATGAGTCTCCGAATATTTGGAATGTATTTATAGAGTTATTAAAATATAATTCTGGGAAGAAACCAAGAAATTAACATTTTTATTCTATATGGCTTTATAAATCTAGGTCTTCTGGGTCATTAAGGTATTAAGCTTCAGTGTCTTTTTTTTTTTTTTTTAAGTCCTAAAGCAGCATGTTACTTCCCTGCTATTTCATGACCTGCAAAAGCTAATTATTAATAAACAACAAACTGCTCACCTTTTACTGTAATCACCCAATTACAATGTCAATGTTGGTTGACATTCATTAGATCTGGATTTCTCAAAGTGTATTTATCTAGGTCAAGAAAAACGGGCAGAAGGAAACTTCACCCAAATTATGTAGCAGTGTTAAGCAAATTCAGTTTTTGAGCCAAAATTAAATCATTTGTGTCTTCAAACTTTCCCTTGTAACTTTTCTTATAGCAGTGTAATTTTGCATTTTGGCCAAAGAGAGCTATTTTCTTTTGGCAGACAAAATCATGCTTCTGGAGAAACACTGACTTAGATCTATGGAATCTGTTTCCTTTTTAATAGAGCTCTAACAAATAGAGCTTTATATATTTATTTTATCCAAGTTGATCCTTTCAAAAAGACTGATTAATGAAAAATTTGAAATTTGCTCTGTAGTACATTTTTATCCAATATACATAAATATGCTCAATTTAAAGCAATTTTCCAAAACAACTGGTTTTTGGCCAAGATTCAAGAAACCCCAGAATGTCTTATCCAAAATAATAAAAAACTGACAATTAAAAATTAAACAATAGTGCTTAAGTGTAATTTTGTTTCATTTTGTTTTAGAGATGAAGTCTCACTATGTTGCCCAGGTTGAAGTGCAATATCTAGTCTCAAACACAATCATGGTGACCCACAGCCTGGGCTCAAGCAATCCTCCTGCCTTAGCCTCCTGAGTAGCTGGAACTAAAGGCACACACCACCACACCTGGCTATGTTTTTAAAAACCACCTTTACACTACTGTACACTTTTGGACATCTGGAAACAAATATATGTTGACTCTCATGAGAAAAGTACTTGGTGACACATTAAAGAATGAGTCAAGGAGTTTACAAAAACACAAGAGGCAGGGTACAGTTATTCCAAAATGAGAGAAAACAGCATCGTACCCTTGCTTTTGTTTGAAGAGAAATGAAAATATTTCCACTTAAAATAGCTAGTTACTGTTAAAATGTCACCAAATTAGTTTAAAACATTACTCAGAAAAGCAGTTATTTCCAACAGTAACAATTTTAGTTACCTTTTATAAGAACTACGTTGTAACTTTCATTTTTAAGGGTCTTATATCTCCTCAGGATTATTACAAACCACCTTGTTAGATTTCAAATTAACTAATTCTAACTCAATCCAAATTAATAACTGCTCACATTCACAAGCAAAAAATACTATTGCACATTACACTCACATTTTAGGAATGTGTGCTTCCCCCCATACCCCAAAACTGACAATGCAGGTATGAATTACATCCCATAATCTGAATTTATAGCACTCAAAGTGCTTATGTTCTTCCAGTGAACAAGTTCATTAATATACCTGTAATCTCAAAATACTTCATGAACCCTGAAGTGATTCTCTATGGAAGGAGCTTCCTTTGTAAAATGAATTTGGCTAGTCACCTGCATACCAAAATCCCCAAGTATCTGAACAAATTTCTTGTGCTCCTTTCCAATCCAAGATCTCATTGGATCACGTACTTGGTAAGGTGTTACATGAGTGTGAACGATAATCCCTGTTTGTGCAAATTCTTTCAAGACTTCTGGATAAGTAACCCAAGTATTGCTTCCTCCAGAATGACCACCATCCAGCCAATACATTGTTCTTATGCTTTTGATAAAAGCATCTATGTTCTTGTCTTTCTTGGCTTCTTTCAATTCAAAAAGCAACTGATTCAAAACAACACAACCTTTACTGAATCCAATCAAAGTAAAAGATGCATCATTTAGTGATGGTGGATAAAAACTCATGGCAGATTCATCAGACTTTTCACAGGTCCTCACTTTTTCTCCCTGGCAACCATTCGTAGTATGAGAAGAACTGGATCTACAGTTAGATGCTATGGAGTCCTTATTCCAAACATTCAAACTTTTCTTTGATAAACTATTCTGACTTAAATTAAAAGCATTAACTAATAACATGTAAAGGTGCTTAAAAGCTCCAAAGTCAGTATTGTGTTCTGGGGCACCAAACATGTTACTTTTCACAAAATTGTCATAGCAGCTGAATTTGTGCAAATGCATTCGGGAACATTTTATCACCCAAATGTAACTATTGGGGAACCGGTGGGCTAAAATGGTAGCAACATTTTCTAGACTCCAGTTTTCCCATTGATAATTCTCAGGATGACGAGTCATAATTTCATGGTAATTCTGAAAGGTAAGAAAGATGAAATAAGTATTAAATACATATTTACATAAAATGATTTCCACAAAACAGTTTCCATTTTTATTGTGGAGAAAGGATGTTACAATGACCTATGGTTAATATACACTAGAAATGAAAACTATAAATTTGTCATTACTTTCTAGTAATAAGATTTTTGAACAAATTACTTCTTCAGTTTAAGCCTGAAATCTATCAAGAGACAAGGAAATAAGATATACCTACATGGAACAGTAAAAAGTTTTTAAAAATTTAATTTTGAAGAGTTATAGATAATGTTTAACAAATTTTATTTTAGTATATACATATAATCAATTTTCCTAACACATCAACTGAAAATATAAATTTGGTTCACTAGATAGACTTTCTGACCAACACAGAATCTTAAAATATTTCCCTAAGTTGCCATTCTATACCCCTCCCTCTTTGGATTTCTCTAGCAACCTGAAGAGTACATTCAATTTCAAATTTAGTATTATACAAAAGCTGCAATAAACATTATAGAAAACTCTTTGTACACATCTGTGATTATATCCTTAAATTCCTAGATATGGAAAAACTAGGTCAAAGAATATTTGTAATTTAAGTCTGGATTTCTATTCTTGCCTATTCATATCCTTTGCCCCTCATTCCCCACTTTTTGTGTGAGACAGGATCTCGCTCTGTCATCCAGGCTGGAGTGCAGTGGCATGATTATGGCTCACTGCAGCCTTGACCTACCGGGCTCAAGCAATCCTCCCTCCTCAGCCTCCCGAGTAGCTGGGACCACAGGTGCATATCATCACATGTAGCTAACGTTTTTATTCTTTGTAGAGAGAAGATCTCACTTTGTTGCACAGGCTAGTCTCAAACTCCTGGACTAAACCATCCTCCTACCTCATTCTCCCAAAGTATTGGTATTATAGGCATGAGCCACCATACCCAGCCTCCTTTGTCCTTTTGTATTTATACCTTATTTATAAGCATTCTATACATACTAACCATAACTTTTTGTTTAGGTCCTAGGATGTACATATAAACTGTTTTAATTTTACTCATACTGACTTTTTTTTGGGGCGGGGGGGAGATTCATTCAAATTTACTCATTTGTTCTATAAAATTTACTGGATACCTACCAGTTGGGCAGGGAACAAAAGAGACTAAACCCTTGTTCACA